CAGCCACTCGTCTCCAAGCCTGTAGCGCTGCTTAGATGTGGCTAAAGGTGCAGCTACAGACTTGGAAGCCCAGGAAGCTTCTCAATGAATCTAGAGCCTGATTCACTACTCAGAGCCTGTGTAGGAATGTCTCTGCACTGTCTCTCCCATTGAAATTTGGGACCCTGCTGAAGATTTGCATTAAACAGAGTTTATATTTGAAGCCAGCAGTAAAGGCTTACCTCTGTAACAGGTGGATTGTGTTTTTGCCCAGGAAGGTGGTTGAGTCACCATCTCTGGAGGTGTTTAAAAGACAAGTAGATGTCATGCTTAGGAACATGATGTAATGATGGACTTAGGGTTGGTTCAATGGTTGGGCTCCATGATCTTAAAGGTCTTTCCAACCAAAACCATTCTATGATTCTATGATTCTAAAGGGTTTCAGAATCAGAGAGGCAGTCTATGTCCTTCCCTGGGAGAGATATCTTCAGATTTCCTTTTTCCGTAGTGAAGACAGCCTGGAGTTGACACTAGTAAGGGCCTCTGCTGTCTATACCACAGACTTCTCTAGGACTTCTGAGGACAGTTGGCAAAGCTCAGCTGAGGCTGAGAGAGCCCTAGGAAGCACAGCACTTTAAGCTGGTGTAACCCTGCACTGCTGCAGAAAGCCTCCATGCACTTCTCCCCTTCTTCTGGCCACTAGTTCCCATTTTCCCTCTCGCACCTCCTCCCTTCTGCTGGAACAAGCGAAACAGGTCAGAGAGCTGACCTAAACTTAAATTAACACCAGAAAACAAAATGGTTGCTTTTCAGCTGGATCTGTTTTGGTTTGATAGTTTACCAAGTGGCTGAGCTGATGCTTGTTCTGGTGCAAAGGAAGGAATATCACAGGGACTGAAGGTAGCAGCTGAGCAAAAGGAGGATTTTTGCTTATGCTAGCTTGAGGCATGCACTGAATTCAGCCTGGGGGTGAATAAGGCTTAACTGACAAGCTTGTAGCTAGCAACAAGGGAAGTCTTGTGTCTCTTCCTTTCTGCTCCGCCTCCACACTGCTGTTCTTTACTGTGCAGTCCCAATCCTTGCCTTATGTTGGCCCTGGAACATCACAGACTGGATTCAGCTCACCAATCTAGCAAAAAAACTCTTCACTTTCCGCTAGGTTGGTTTTTGAACAGCTTAGGAGTGGAACTGGAGTACTGAAGGGTCCATTTAACTGCTGACAAGGCTGGTGGAGAGGGTTTGGTGAAGTATTCAGCCAGGGAGAAGAACAGTAGGAAAAGAGAGGCACGCAAACCACCCCCTTCTGCTGGTGTTGAGCTGGGAGGCTAGTTCCAGACAACGTGTTTACTTTCACTCTTCAGACTTCAGGATTTGGCTCAAACTATTGCTACTTCACTGGGAACCTTATGTTTGTAAGGATAGAAGCTGGTCAAAAGTCTTGATCTTCCCAAATAGTGAGTATTTGCATCTACTATTGCTTGAGTTCTTAAATATGTGATTAAAGTTAAATCAGAATGTAAGTGCAGTTACATCTGAGGATAAAGTATCTTGCTGAGATGTTTCTTTCTTTAATTACTAGTTTTCTACCTCTACTTTAAAACAACTTTAATATAGTCTAAAATGTTCATTTACATTGGAAAATATATAGAAACAGTCAACATCTGTTGTGTTACATTTGAAAACTAAAGCAAAGCTCCCACCATTGAACAGCAGTGCTGAACCTGAGGGGCAAGAGATTTTGTGGTGTTGAACTTCAGGCATGAATTTCTAGTGTAATTTTACAGATGCTTACCCTCACTTGCTTCCCATGTCTCATGTATAAAAAAGGAGAACATGAAGCAGAAAGGTGAGACATCAAGATACAGATGTATATACACTGCTGCCCAGTTCTCCAACCATAGGTAATTGATAAAAGTACTATTATTTACATCAATCCATTTTCAATTACTTAGAGTCTGCTTGTGAAGCTTAGCTCATGTGAGTATAAAGAACTCTGTGTACACTTTTTGTTCATTTTTTCTTATAAGACACGAGAAAGAATTACAGGATTCCAGGTTTGACTGGAGAAGATGAAACTTTTTAAGTATTTGTTTAATGAGTTTTCCCCAGTCAACATTTATTTCACTCTTTTGTGAGGAAAAAAAAAATAACTGTAGGCTCTGAAAATCCATTGCTGACAACATAACTGAAAATGTTCCAGATACAGACACTGCCAGGTGAAGAAATAATATTCATCCATTCAGGAGAGACTGTTGGGGAGAGAAAGGGATATTTTTGGTTGGCAGTTTCCTTCACAGCTTTGAAAGGTTTTTTTATTCTTGGCTATGTTTAGAACATGGGGAAAAAAAATCAGTGAAGCTTCAAGTTACAAGCATCAGAGACAATTTACAACAGTTTAGGGTCAAGGCTGTAAATAAAGGTCTTGGCAAACTTGGATGTAAATGAGGATATTTCTTTGGAAACCATGGGTCACAGGACTAAAGGAATTTCTATAATCTGTGCTTCTCCTTGTTTAAGAGGAAGATGTAGCTAAATATAACTTGACCATGACAAATATTTTTTTAAATGGACATTAATTTTGCTTATCTATTGAGAACAACAATTTGCATTTCTCTTCTTCATTTATGCATAGTCTAATTGCAGATGTTTTCGTGACCCATCTAGATATTTCTTTCTTGGCAGCACTTTCTTTAGGTTACCCATTCTTGAATCTCATAAATGCCACCCAGTAGTCCTAAATTCGCAGAAAGACATGGAAACCTCTAAAGTTTCTACAGAAATATCATCTGGTGTTTTGAAACCAAGAAAATTCTGCTTTGTAATATCACAGAGTTTAAAATCAATTGGAAAAAAAAAGTTAATAAATGAGACTTACCACAACTATATATCGAGGCCTAAACTGGATGGTTCCAAACAGACCCAAAATGACAACTATTATTTGTAGGAAATTGCCAAGGATAGGAGCCCACTGGAAACCAAGGAAGTCAAAGATCTGTCTCTCTAATGCTGCCAGCTGTAAGAAAACACATAAACAGAACATCCACTTTTTAATTATGAGTGAGACAAAACACTTGACACTTTGTTATTTTGCACTAGGCTTCACCAGAGAAAAGTACAGCAAAATTCTGAACCTACAGTTCCTGGGTGTAGCCTTTGTCATCATTGTACATTGATATCTGAAGATAGCTACAAGTCATCATACAGATCTTCTAATGACAAAGCACTTGGAAAAAGCTTTACTTTAAGAAAATACTTGCAAAACCCTCATATAATACAGAAATACCTTTATAAAGCAAATGCAAACAAGTTTTATTTTCTTATTGTATGCTGAAAACTCCAAGGCTTGACAATACTTATTGAAATACAAAATTTGTCTTAAATAGAAGTTCACCTACACTAAGCAAAGCCATGTAAACCTTGTTACTGTTCCTGAAATATCATCATGTTCCCTCCCTCCCCCATGTCTTTGTTTTCTTATATTTAGCTTCAACTTGACTGCAAGTCCTCAATCTGTTCCTAAAGCAGAGACATTTGGGCCAAAAAGGGCAGAGTAGTCTCAGAGGAGACACAGATGTGGCTATTTGGTACGTTCTCGGGAGTTCCCTAATGCAGGAATTAAGGAAGACTGCTGGGACCTCCTTACAACCTGAAGCACAGAGGTAGGCTCAGGGAGTGAAAGGCTGTAAAAACTGTTGGAAGACTTTGCAGTAAGCTGCTGTAAAACAACAGCCAAATGAGCTACCTGTGCTCTGCTAAATGCTGCTAGGTTACTTTGGGCAAGTGCAAATCAGAAGGACACAGTGGCACCCTAATGGCTCTTTTCCCACTTTTAGGGGTGGATTTATTTTGGTGCAGAAATGGAGGAAGCCAAGAAGCATTAACCTTCATCCTTGTAGCAACATGTGGTTCTTAGGTAATTCTGCATTTCTGAATGTTAAGTAAAAAAAAGAATTAAAAAAAAGCCAGATTAAAGTCCTTCTGCAAACCCAGTTGCTATTCATTTTTTACAATCCAGTCTATTGTTCCACAGATACTAAAATCAACTTTCTCAGCAGGACATTTGTTGAAATTTAAACTTGGTTCCATATTTTTCTAGCCATAGCAAGACTTTTTTGAGCAGCTAAACAGAATCCTACTGAGAAACAACTGAGTTTCTGTGCTTGCCAGAATTTATTACATATCTACTTGATTTTACTACATTGTTAGAAACCCTAAAATTTACTGAAATATGTACTTAAAATATTTATAACTGAGACAGATGGAGTAAGCATGACCCTATGAATACCAAGCAAAGTATTATCATATTTGGGTATATCACATATAACTTTTCATTTTATACATAATGGCTAGATTCAATCCTCACCTAAAAGATGGGGTTAGGTGTCACTGAGAGCAGAATTCATCTTTTTCTCTACAAAAATCATCCATTATACCAGTCATGAAAACCACATTTTCTATGTTGAGGTTAAAAAATATGATAAATCTAAACAATTAAATGAACAAGGGTTGAATAATCAACCTGATGCAGCTCCTCTGCAATTAGTAATGTGGACTTTTACCAGCTAAACATCTGGCCATATATATAGATATATATATATGTTTGTGTATATAAGTACATGAAAATTTATCACACAGTTGACAATGTTAAAATTATGGTATCCTCTTGGGCGTGTAAGATGTTCCTATCTTAACAGAAATGTTCTTAATCTTTTTGTGCTGTAGGTAAGGGAAAATCTGAGAGGAAACATCTCTCTCATGTGACTGAAGCTGTTGGCTCATGTGGCATCAGCTATCTACCTTGCTTTTGTCGCACTCTGCCCTCTCTTCTTTTAACTCATTGTCCTATATCATCTGGATCAATCATTAGTTTTCTTCCCTAGATACGGAAAGGAACTATGGAAGTTAATGACAAAATCCAGAAAATGACATATTTACATGGACCTCAGATAGAATTTCAGTGCCTAATGATGTGGTTGTTGCTTTCCTGGAAGTATATGGGCATCCTAACTGGTGCACAACAAGATGCCATTCATACACACCTTGATGTCATTATCATAATGTCTCACCTTGTAGGAGACTCACAAGCATCACAATAACAGCACAGTTGGGACACCTCAGAATCACTTGCTTTTTCAACCATCCTCTAATGTGCTCCCTCAGGCAATTCAGGTGACCTCACATTTGGGAATACTCCTGCCTGCAGCTTCTCTAAACCACAGGATACATCACATAGTATAGAACAGTGTAGTGTGGTATGGTATGGTATGGTATGGTGTAGTATAGTATGGTGTAATATGTTATAGTAACAGTATAGCACAAGGGTGCCCCAAACCCCATGTGTGAGATGGTAGTTTCAAAACCTCTTTGCAACAGGTAGAACTCACAGTTCATGGCATTAGCAACAATGTACCAAGATTCCTGTCCTGCATCACATAGGAAGACATTTATGACATCCATGACTAAAGCCAGAGCCTGTTTCATTCCCATCACTACAGGTGGAGATATTCCATGGTCAGCAAGACACCTAAATAATTCACAGACCACCACTTTTCAGAGACAATGTGTCTTCTTCCTGGAGCCCTGACATTAACAAATGAGCAGAGGATGGAGTTGCTAAATCAGACTAGAATCTGCTTATCAGCCACCTCTGCCCTGACATTCATTGAAACTCCCATGTAGCCCAAGTCTTCACCTGCACCAATAATGTGTGTCCTATAATGTTTCCAGCACTGAAGGCATCTGGCTTAGGACTGCCTCCCGTAAAGTGTCCTTGACTCTGAAACACGGCAGCTGTGTGCAAACTACATACCCACCGACTCAGAATGGTTCCCAGGCATGGATGAACTCTCTGGGAAGACCACTGGTCACACTGAGCCCAGTTAACATGACAGAGGACTCTAACAGCTCACTAACACCCACAGTGGTATGCCACTACCTGGCTTCTTCCTCAGGCACACGTGAATTTGCTGGTGTAGAGAGTATAGGGCTTGGCTAGAGCGGGTATTGAGGAAATTAATTTCACACAGATGGCTCACTGCAGGATGGCTGCCCTTAGACATTTTATGTAGTGTTGAAACACCTAGAGCTGTCTGAAAGACAATAGCCTGCAGCATGGACATGAACACTGCAGCACAGACATGAATGAAGCTGCTTAGTATATGTCTGTATATGTCTTAGTATATTAAGCTGCTTCTTAAACTGATTCTTAGGAGTAATTTTCAGAGCTGTTCAGATCAGCACCTTAAATGCCTGAATGCACTACTGCAATGTTAATGAACGTGGCCACTGTGCTTTGCCAACAGACCCATGTTAGCAGGCTTGGTACTTAGTTCATGCCTAAACCAAATCAGATACAAAGTTTGCCTTCATGTGTACCTTCTTGATATCTGCCAGGCAAGCTTTGAGCACATCTAGCAGGACTGGGCTCCCACAAAATAGCACGGTGGCCACAAGTATCTTCCCAAAGATGGCTGCACAAATGTGTATATGCACTGTAGGTATACCTACATATATAACAAATAATTAGTCTTTTCTTGGGCTACTGTGGTAAAGGTACCCACCACAAATACAGAGAAATAAGGTTCCATTTCCTCTCCTGCTGTCCATTCCTTTCCTCCCACCTCCTATCCATTAGGATATCAAGTGTGAGAGCTTCTCCTTGAAGCTGTGTCACCAGCCAAAAAAATAAAATTTGTATTTAGCAAGTCAGAAAGAGAGCACAAGCAGAAACAGGAGTCTACAGCCTACTGCTTCTGTCACTAATCCAGGATTGCGAGAGTTGCTTGTATTTCTTGCCTGCAGGGCTTGCTCTGCATTTTTATATACAGTGACAGCATGCAAACCATCTAAGGAGTCCTGGGAGCAGGACACCAAACATACAGCACCATTCCTTCTCCATTAAGAAGTGCTTTCACCATCAGGCTATGCAGTGAGACTTTCCAATGCAGCTAAGTCTCATTTATTTTGCTCGTGTCGCCAACTTAGAGTAATTTGTTTCATCCCTAAAGCCCACGGAATACATTAGTGGGTGAAAAAAAAAATCTAAAGAAAAGAAAGAGGTAGGAGGCATGTCTATCCTGCTCAAATTACTACTCTCTTCTAAATTATAAAACCTTCTTGCAGATAGAAGTTAAAAACTAATAATTCATTATAATGTCAGAGGAAACATATTAACTTCTAGTTTCTTTATAGCCTGAGTAATAGGAACTAAATAGAGATAGCATATAAGCGCAGCTGCTCATGTGGCTAGTATTTCACCCAACAGAATCCCCAAGCAGAGCCGAAGGCCACAGACTTTTTAAGTTTGTGCAAATGAAGAAAAGCAGTCCCTAGCACTGTCCGTGATTCAGGTATTTCACTACACAGAAATCATCAGAGTAAAGGGAGGGAAACATGTAGCTGTGCACAATTACAGGCTGTTTTTACACAGATATAAAGAGCCAGTACTATCTTTGTTTGCACAGATGCAAAATCTCAGTAGCCACAAGTGGCCACCGGACTAACCTATGCCTGTGGTGCAGTCGGAAAGGAGCAGACATTGTGACAAGGATAGTTTCATTTGGAATTATGTGCATCTGAGTGCATTGAAATATTTCACCAAAAACATTTTGATGATAAAGAGGCTGTTTTTCTCAACAAGAAATTTTCCCAAGAGAATTTCTTCTTTCATCATCATTTGCAGATTCTTCTGAAAATAGCCACAAAAACTGAACCCTGAAGGTGAGGCAGAGATTCCCGAAATTAACTGTCTTAACTTCTCCTGTTGCTGGAAGACAGATACCAAATTGGTAGGGCAGAGGAGCTCGATGCTGGAGAAATGGGGTACACTCAGTGTGACTGAGGTCATCTGGGAGTTGGTTTACTGTCATATCACCTTCCAAAAAAGCGTATGTTGGGAGAGCCTGGCACCTCCACCACTTGTGACAACTAAGACATCAATGTTTGCGAGTGTCCATCACAAATTGTTGTTCAATACTGTTTTTTAATTATTAACCTCAAAGTGGAACAAAAACCCAAACCCAGACCTTTCTTGCAGATAAATCAGGAGGATTTCAGTTTTGGCAAATTATTAAAAACTAGGGGGTCTGTTTTTAGTGAAATATGTGTCCATTTGTGTGAAAAAAAGTCATGATAACTTTTAAAAATCCATCAAAGTTGATAGGAAACAACAGTTCTTATCATAACAGTTGGAAAAAGAGACATAATAATTCTTGTTTCTGCTGCCAAGGGAGCGCCTTGTTATTTAGTCATCATCAGCACCAATAATCTTGTAATGTAAAGCACACAATTAGGATTAGCAGCAAAATGCTCTAGTGGGATTGTATCAGATCACTTAATGAAGCTGTGCCACATCTATCTTGTTCTCTTACCTCTTTGTTTCACTAAGTCTGCCAAACATTCCACGTGTCCCTCTTTCTACAGAGTGCAAGGAGAAGGTGCTAAACTGCATCAAAATCACACAAGCTGAACTTTCTCTTCTGGCCATGCCCAAGGCTTTTTGTGTTAAGAACAGCCAAAAGTTCAGGTGAACTAATCTGTTTGAATTCTGAGCTTTTCCACCTAGATGGATCAACCAGATGTGCAGCACATTTGGAACGCCCTGAAGAGAAGAACTAGGGCAGCTGTAGTCTCAATGACCCAAATGCTGCTTATGGTGAAGGAGTAGCAAAACAAAGGGCGAGGCAGCAATCAGCAATGCTCCATAGGATCTACAGAAAGAAATTACCATGACATTCCTCAGCTATACAGAGATCAAAAAACATCTGTGAGAGCACACTTCAACAAATGTGTCCTCTGGACTAAACCCCTCTTCTAAATGCTCAGGTCCTATAATACTTCAAAAATACATATCAGAAGCTGTTGGAGTGATGAGACACCACAGCAGAGTTACAAAGTCAACTTTTCAAACTGAGTGTAAAAACTCAATTTTCTCTTCTGTCAGAAACCTCATGGATAATAGTCAGCTTTATATTTTAATGGAAAAGCTTTTATAAATGACACGTTAGTTTGAGATGAATGAATAGGTCTACATCCATAACAGAAGGAGTCACTGGATCAAGAAAAAGAGGATTCATATACAACAGATCATTTTAGACAAGAAAAGACCTAGAAGTGATTTGATATAAATATAAAAACATAAAATTGCTTAATATATAAATAAAAAATTAATGTTATATAGAAATAAATGCAAATTTGATATCTTATAAATTACTGAGTTTACAAAATTGGGACAGCATAATCTACTCTGCATTTCATATTAAAAAGCTGCTTCAATTTGTCATATAAGACAATCCTTAGAAATCATAATAACCAGGATAGTATCCATTCTATTTCTAACAAACTTCAATAAATCTAACAGCAATCTTAAAATTACATACTTAATAACTGCAGAGTTGTAAAACTATATAGTTTTGAAATTTTTTTTTTAAAAACAATTAAAAACCTAGGAATAAATACAGAAATTATTATGAATTCTCAAATGGACAGTGTTTCCCCAGCTTTCAAAAAATTACATTTGAATCCAAAAATTACAGTCCAGAACAATTATATTCTAAGTTCAAATCAGGAATTATCTGAAACATTTGAATTATGCATGTAAGGCTCAGAGTTGGCTGATGTCGCTAATAATTATCACAGGATAAGTGCCAGGGCACAGCTCATCATCCATACTAACCACTGTTCCTAAGGATAAGGACATTTTCTCTAAAACTCTCTGCTTCATCTTACTGTCATAAATTTAACCTGTGGCTTCAGAAAGAGAGAGTTTCCTGGATATAAGGAATCTCTGAGGACTGTTGCTCCTTCTACCATCGCCACTAGTTTCCACATCCAGCACACCGCACTGAATTACAGTCAGTGTGGTCCATGCAACTGTTAAAAACTGAACTGGTTCCCAAGCCCCCTCTAGGGCACTTCACCTGGAGCCGTAATAGCCCTCCATTCAGCAGTGCACTCAGCTTTCCCTCCCAAACCCTTCCTTCCTTTCCTTCCTTTCCTTCCTTTCCTTCCTTTCCTTCCTTTCCTTCCTTTCCTTCCTTTCCTTCCTTTCCTTCCTTTCCTTCCTTTCCTTCCCTTTTTGCCCAGATCACTGTGCACCCCCGGAAAGCTATACACCAGCCCAAAGAAGGCGGCAATATTGAGGCAGGAATGGAGAGGAGCAATGAGAGCCCCCAACACCACCTTGTAGCCTGGGTACTCAGCTGGAATAGAGAAGACCTTGAATCAAGGTAATTTTTAGCACTTGCAACATTTGACTTAAACCTTGTCTTCACATTCCCGCACTCTTAGGAGCGTATTTTTGTTTTCTTGACAGATGTTCCACTGAGAAAACATTTTTGTACAACCTTGGGGCAAATGCATGATGTTCACATCGCTCTTTCACTTTTTTTTTTTTTTGAGAACATGTACTTTCTAATTTAAGGGGAAAAGACATTAAAAAGTTACTGAACTAGTCTGGATAAAACCTCAGCATTGGAGACTAAAATATGGACTTACTAAATGCTAAAATTTAACAGGTGAAGCAGGAAGAAGGTCAAAAATATAAATAAAAAATTAGTTGCATCAAAGACTGACTGGTAAAGCATAAAACACTTCTATACAAATTTTATAGTCTCACTGTAACTTCAGAATTTTAGTGACAGGCTTGACTTCAGTAAGAAGGAACATAAGATTTAACATGAGAGAAATGCCAGCTTTGTAACAGAGGGGAGAACATTTAAATTTGAAGTGGAAAGGTGGTGACAGATGATCACTCTTCCTCAAAGAACACTATTTATGAAGTTACTGTCCTTCAGCTAAAGGTCACAGCCTCCTTACCTGTGACTTACCCCCTTTCAAAAGAGGCTTCACAACCAAAGCTGAGTGTAGTCTGTGTCACAATGAAATGTTAAAATTTGACTTAAATCACTTTTTTATACCTTCAGCAATGGTTAAAGCAATCATTTGACCACAAAGGAGATTCCCATTAGATTTTTAATGATCTGAATTCACTTGTCTAGGTGAAATACTAGCTTTGGGGTGATTTTAAGATGATAATCCCTTATAATGGCTCACTAAATACATTTATAAGATTATGTGGCATGAAGGTTACTGAATTTCAAGGAAGGTTCTGAGTAAATCACTAATGTTTATAGTAAGTTCATTTTCATGAAGCAAAAGAGAAACTGCTAGCTTTCTGACAAGTAATAGTCAAAAAAAAAAAGCCCTGATGATCTAATATCAAAAGTGCCTTTGCAGTGTTGGTCAGATAGATAGGTAATTGGCTGTCACTTGAGTAGCTGTAAGACTGGATAAAACATAATGCAAAGGAAAATTATAAAATAATAATAACAATAAAAAACAATAACAATAAAAAAGTAGTAGCCAAGGTTAGTGAAGGCCAAAGCACAAAAACAAAGAAAAGAAAGGCAGGTACAAAAAAAACAACAACCTGTCTTTTTAAAAGAGTCTGTGTTGCCTTTCAACACTGAATGTAGCTCTTATTCAACTATTCAACTCATACAGGAAATATTCAGAACCAGGTAATGGTCTTTCCAGCATTCTTGTAAGTGCTTTAATTCATTGGAGGATGGTGGTAGAGACAACACAAAATATTGCAGAAAACATCATATTTTAGCAAAATAATTAAAAGTAATTTTTCTGAGGAAAAAAGGAGTCATTCATTGATAATTTATAGGTAAGTAGTGAGCAGTATATGTATATTTTTGAATAATTAATAAACTTTATTTTAAAAAAAGCTTAGTAATAAAATGAGTTTTTCAAAAAGACTATCTGAGACTATACTAAAGTCTCAGAACCAGCCACCACTAAATGGCTGGCAAAGAAGTTGATCTCATCTGAGAATTTGGTCCACAGTATGATAAGGAGAGCCAGTAAATGCCAGATCTTAGAAATCTATAAATGTAATTATAAGATGTTGAAAGGGTTGTCTTCCTTAGCTTCTATCTTCTCCACATCTTAACAAGTACATACATATTTTTTAATATCACTTATTAAACTATTAGCAGGCACAAAACAAAGGTAACTCTTAAAGGAAAAATGTTTTCCTAATTACATATACTACAAAAGCCTTGCAGCTATACCAATGACGTGCAGGAAGCTTTCAACTGATGGGTCTGATATGAAGGTGGTGTGTACTTTCACCAAACTGAGCACAAGCCTCTAGTTTTGGCTCAGACAAAACTTCCGCAGAAGTCAAAAGAAGCTGTGACTGCATCAAGGCTGCGGGACCTGGCTCAGAAAGGCAACAGTAAATTATTTAAGAATCTCATCAGCATGGAAGGGTCTGTTAATATTTATTCTTCAGGGTTGCCTGACTGCAGTGATATAGAATGTGGCATCAAACAGTCCCACTTTCCAAAACACTACGGGTGCCAGAGTGATATACCCGAGGCTGACTGCTATGTCTGTACCAAACAGACATTATGAAAATGCAGTTACAGTCTATAGGTAGCCAAAATAGGGAAGAAGCCAACTACTGTAATAAAACCCCACAGCGCTAACTTGTTACAGCACAGTGATTTGGGATTGAATTTCAACCCTCCAATGAAGCTGTAACTGATCCCAAAACACTAAAGTCAAGCCCCTTGACTGGTTGACCTATACAATCCTGCAAACAGCTGGAATGTATGTGCTTATAACAGCATTTAAGACTCCCTTGGACGTTTCATTTAAATGCCAGTGCACATACAGCAAAAGACAGTGTAAGAGGTGATTATAGGTTAAAGATCTTATAAGATTTATATCTTATTATGAATGATAAAATCCATGTCAAAAACTAGAGAAAAGGGAAAAGCAAATTCAAATTTGTCTTCTTTGTGATTATATAAAGTTACATATGCAGTTGCTTTAATCCAAAAGTAAGTTTTTATTTCACAGAATCACAGAACGTTAGGGATTGGAAGGGACCTCAAAAGATCATCTAGTCCAATCCCCCTGCCGGAGCAGGAACACCTAGATGAGGTTACACAGGAAGGCGTCCAGCCGGGTTTTGAATGTCTCCAGAGAAGGAGACTCCACAACCTCTCTGGGCAGCCTGTTCCAGTGCTCTGCCACCCTCACTGAGAAGAAGTTTCTTCTCAAATTTAAGTGGAACCTCCTGTGTTCCAGCTTGTACCTATTACCCCTTGTCTTATCATTGTTTGTCACTGAGAAGAGCCTGGCTCCATCCTCGTGACACTCACCCTTTCTATATTTATAAACATGAATGAGGTCTCCCCTCAGTCTCCTCTTCTGCAAGCTAAAGAGACCCAGTTCCCTCAGCCGCTCCTCATAAGGGAGATGCTCCACTCCCTTAATCATCTTTGTAGCCCTATGCTGGACTCTCTCCAGCAGTTCCCTGTCCTTCTTGAACTGAGGGGCCCAGAACTGGACGCAATTTGCCATGCAATTATCTCCCTTCATATCTTCAAACTGTAACTTCTCATAATTGTAAGTTTTGTGGTTTTTTTTTTCATTTATTTGCATATTTGAACACATTCAGTAAATCTAGGTACCTTTACAGGCTTCTTAAATCACTGCATCAGAAATAGAAGACTAAAGCACTTACTGACAAAATATAGTAAGAAACGAACATGTTTACTACTCCTTGGAATTCCCAGGGCATAGTAGGTAAAAAGAGGAGGTAACTGGTGATGATAACGCTTGATAACAATGATGCCCACAGCCCTGGATCCCTGATGATTATGGCATCCAGCCAAAAATCAGAGAAAAAACAGGGAGAAAAAGAAAAAGCTGGGAATTGTTGCTGCAGGATCTGTAACCAACCCAGCCCCAGCATGAAGAGACACACTGTGAGTATGTAAAGGGAGAGAGGCTGAGGTGGACACCCAGACTGCAAGGCATGAGATGAATTGAAATCCCTGTAAGGTAAACAGACAAAACAGTATTTAGAGCCTCTAGCAGATGAATGGCGTACTCCTTCTGGCCAAAGAACAACCATCTACTCATGAGCTACATCAGGGATTCTATAAAACCCTGGGTTTTAATGTAGGCTCCAAAAGAAGACATAAATTAATCCAGATGGAGCTCTCCTTCCATGAGTAAGGAAGACACATGTTTGGAGTTCACAAGAAGCTGGAGAAGTTGGAAAGTTTGTTCAAGGTCTGAATTTAACTGAGTCAAATTGTATGATATGAGCTTTGGCCTAAAACATCAAATGGCATAAACTGACTCCTGACAGGTCTTGTGAAGCATAACGTTTCCCACAGAATGTGGCATATTCTGTTACGGTTTAGTTTGTGGTTCTAAAGAGGCAGTATATCTTAAATCACCAACTCCTTTCAGTCAAAACAAAGTATTAAGCCAGGGCAGCAAAGTGCTAAAAATCATGTGCTGCCTGTTACCCCTAATTTTAGCCACAGCATAGAGCCTTGTTCCACAGCAGAGAGGAGTTCAGATGTCTCCCTGAATAACTTTTCCTTTCTTTACCCAGAAAACTTATTTCTATTGCCTCTCTTGAGTCCCAGCTGTGCAAAAACAGAAGAAAGGGAGACTGCATCTGCTTAGATTTGCCAGATGCACAAGGGAAAAACAGTTTAGCACAGGCTTAGAAGTCTGACGACGTGTCCAAATCTATCCTTGCATTGCAATTCATTCATTTGATACCAAATGCCAAATTGAAGCTTACTACACACAATAATGGATCCTTTGACTTCCTCGTTGGATATGGGTTTGACAAGAAAACTCTCTGATACTGGATCATTCCATGTGATCCAAAGAAAAGTCAGTCCTTGTTTACAGCACAGCAACAAGGTCCTTCCACCTCATTAGATTTTTGGCCAAGAATGAGGGTTGTGATGAGGACAGAGGAT